CACACACACACACACACACACACACACACACACACACACACACACACACACACACACACACAGACGTAAATAAAAGAAGACATTTTGAAGACTAAAGGTCTAAATGTCAATATCGATCCACAGATCCAATGTCTGCATGTAATTGGATATGTGGAACATGGTTTTAATTTCAGTCTGTACTGCCTGCAAAACAAGAGGTGCGCCAAAAAATCCATTCACATAAGAATCTAGATTCTCATTTACTACGATTCAAAATCGATTTAAAATGTCCCAAAATCAATTCTAAAAAAATAAAACAAATACGTTGAAGTCTCCCCTGAAGTCGTGGTGAAGTCTCGCGTAATTACAAAATTACAAAATTTCGCGAGACTTCACCACGTAGCAGGTTCTCGGACATACGCATGCGCGGAAAGTTTCAAAACAAACGGAGGAAGGAGAGATTCAACATTCAACCGGTCCCGTCTTCGTTGGTTTTTACCGAATGCCGGGGAAGACCGAGCTTGACATGAGCTTCATAGTGTGCAAGGTTTGCAAAGTGAAGATCAAATACTTCGGGAACACAACAAATGTGTGCGCTCTCATAACCAGGCATCACCCGTAGTTAAAGGATTTGGAGCAGAGTCAGCCACCAGCAGCAGACCAACGCAGACTTCACCAAACTGTCTGCCAATTCTGAGCTGGCCAAAAAAAAACATAACCAGGTCTATCGCCTGATTCATTGTCAATGACTTAGGGCCACAGTGTGGTGGAGAATGAGGGGTTTATATTCATGTTGCAGACAGCGGAGCGGAGGTATGCCATACCAGCCTCTAAAATGTTCACTCAAACAGCTGTGCCACAGCTTTACCAAGAGACTAAAATGAAAAAAAAAAATGAAAAATTTAGAGGCAGCTAGTTTACTGGTGCTATTTTTCAGTTAAAAAATATTTTCACTTGTTATTCTTAAAGCTTCTGAATAATAGTCTTTCATTTGTGAAAAGTAGTGTTTCATGTTGCCTTTTTGGTACTGCAACTTTCCTGTGAAAAGAAAAGTGCTTGTTGTTCAACTGTAGCATTATACCAAAGCAATTTATTTTTGTTCCAACTTATTTTATAGCTGTGGTCCAGACAGGATTTTTTTAAAAAAGGCACTTTCCTTAAAAAGTGAAAAGGCAGCATGTTTAATTGCATTATGTTTTTAATAACGATTCACTTTTATTTCTGTTACTTGAGTAATATTGCCTTAATGCAACGGTTGAAAAAATTACATTTAAGCATGGATTAATGTTTAAAAATTATTAAATGTGAAAAAGAAAAGACTTTATTATCTGCATTTGTCATTCTGTCCTGCATTACATCATGAATCATTGAATCATGCAGATTCTATAGACTGAAGCAAGAAATTTTTATAAATCAAATAGTTTTGAATGAAAAATCATTTTTGAATTGAATCTAATCATGACATAGTAAAAGATTCCCACCCCTATAAAACAATATGCCCCAAGGATGACTGCACATGTATTCTCTATCTAGTCTGAAATTTCTGGTCAGACACTTTTATTTGAACAGGGACTTTTTTCATTAGAGCTCTTTTTCTCTTTTTAACTAAGCCAACATGTAGCTCTGATCAAACAAGACAGTAAAGCCACATTATCGCACAGCTTGCTAGTTTGACTTGTTACTATACAAAATAAAATCAAATATGTTAAACACAATTATTATTATTAAATATTCTTAGCTTAGTTTGTGCTTAACTGTGATTGCAGGATAAATTGCTGACTGGCTTTTATTTGAATTCAGTGGGGACAACAAGCAATAGTTACATTAAGAGAGATCACCACTGACTCAATAATCGGCACCGTAATTAAACAGGAGGCTAAAAGGCACGCGCTAACATGAGTGCACTCATGCACACAAAGGGGCAGCCAAAAATTGATGGCTACTCCACAGGGCAGTTCTCTGGAGGAGAAAAACAAGTGCAGTTATTGAACTTTTCTCCCAAGGATGAGAATAAGCAATAATAACAGTGCTTACCATCCAGAAAAGGGGGAAAAACATCAGGGCTAACAGGAAATACAAATGATAAAGTGTGCTACATCAAATTAACAAATGAAAAGTGTACTTTATATAGGTGATTAAACTGCTATGCTAAACTACAAAAACTGACAAGGAGCAATGCAAACAGTGATTTAATTTAAAATTTTATAAACTTTTGTCAGTTCCCCAGTGAAAACAGAAAACTTGCATTTTCAAATGTGTAAAGTTACGATTTTTTTTCTCTTTAGTTATTTTATTAGTTATTGGACTACATCACTTAGCCATAGCACCAGCTTATCTTTTCACACATTGGTCAACCATTTCGTTATTATGCTCTAGCAGTACTTCGGCCCATTCAGAAGTGACATTGAGGTGGCCTGAAGATGCCTAAATCGTAGGCTGAAGTGTCTTGTGAAAGGGTGGGAATAAATACAGTGAGCCATTTATCTTAACCTAAAAGTGTATTTAGTTGGAAAAAGTCTTCAGGACATTATTCACAAAAAAATTAAAAAATAAATAAAAATTAATAAATCAATGTTACCATTTTTCATGTTGTAAAAATCAATGATGATGGTCTAGTTTGCTTTATTATTACACCACATTATGTCTTTTATAGAGCTTGTTCGTTGTTAATACACTGCAAAATGACAACAAAATAAGGATGCACGATAACTCATTTTAAGAACCGCTACCGCCAGGAGATAAGATGAGTCAAAAATGGGTAAGATCATAACATAAATAAACAACACCAAAACCATGTGACACTGTAAATTATATCATTTGAAATAAATTCTTAGGAAACAAACTTTTCTTAAAATACAGTATATCAAACAAAATTTCTCAAATGGCCATTTTTTAAATAAGGCACATTAATTAAAAAAGACCTTTAACACTGATCTCAGATTTAAACAAAAGAGAAAAAGTCATTCCACAAGTTCAAAAACAGATAATGCACCAACACAAGTTAGATTCAAAGTACATTTGTTTTTATTATTAGGATTGCCATGAACAATGGCAACCTATTATTATCCGCCTCTAAACTGGACTCTTTATTTATTATTCATCCCAGAACTTTCACCATTAATGCGGCCCGAACTGTAGGTTCGGGCCCCATGAAAAATACATTATTGCGTCGGCGTCGATCTCACGAGGTTTGCTATTATTTATCGTTACATAATCTGTTACCATGGCGACGTAATCCCCAAAAAACTAATCTAAAAATCCCCATTGGATTACATGGGAAGCTCCTCACTCTAGGTCATGTGACCTTAGAGTGTGAGCTTTGTAATTTTAAAGAAGAAACTTTGCAAACAAATTCCTATTACAGCCACAATTTTCATGTTACAAAGACAAATTACACATCAAAACGCAGGAATTTTTGTCTTCTTTCAGAAAATGTGTGTGGTTTGGCTCTACGACAATTGGTTTTCTCTCTACGTGCTTCAGAAGTTCCTTCTCCTATCTCTTCCATTCAAAAAATGGTCAAAACCGGATTCAGAAATCTAACACTTACTACTTTTTTAACTCGTGATATCTTAGCCAAAAATCCAAGTGCATGCTTGAAATTTTATTTCAGTAAAGACCAAAGTCTTCTGACGCTCAAGGTCTAAAAATTATTTCAATAGCCCTTATATTTATTGTACAGCATATGTTTGAAAGGACACATCATTTCTGTGTTTTCAGACAGAGGAGCTGCAGATTTTGGTCTCCCATTAAGTGCAGCTCCTGGGAATCCAGCCTCCTGATTGGCTGAGGCTGAGAGTTAAAGTCAATGTACTGTAGGTTAAAGTCCACACATGACTTTACATAGGTTTCATTTGTTACCATGGAAACACAGTAAACCCACAAAGACGTCCATAAAACTCCTTTGGTAGCTGACAGGTAACTCCACACAATGTGAATACTTCTCACAAGCTAATTGCTAAAGATATCTTTGAAATAAAATAAAAAAAGACTCACATTCAGCCATTTAAAACCATGTCCAGTTCAGTCTACACTCCAACTGTAGGTTAGGCAGTGTCTTACCTGTAGCAGATACATATCATAGGTTTAGACAAACATATTTAATTCAGCCAGTTTTCAACTTAATTAGCTAAAATTTGGTACACTAGTAGCTAAAGGTCAGGTCTATCGGAAATAGTAGCCGAAATAATAAATACAAGATGGCCGCCATAGCTAAGTTCAAATTACTCTAATCCAGCCAATTTCTCATATATTGAGCTAATATTTTATACACAAGTAGCTGACAGTAAGCTCTCTCACAAATAGTAGCTGAAATAAAAATCCAAGAT